CAGGAAGTTCCTTGTATATATGATTAAAGCAGTGGGAGTCCTCCTATAAACTCATAGGATTATACAGTATTATTGAATGTGTAAAAAATATTGAATATGTTTTAAAAATTGTACATGTTCTCTCCCTGAAAAATCCTAGTTTATTGGTGTAGGGGGAGGGGCGTGAAGGGAGATAACTCCTAGGTAGACTGACCTTGAGCTCTCTAGGTAGCCCAGGCTGGCCTCGAACTCAAGGAGATCCTTCTGTCTCAGCCTCCAGAGTGCTGAGATTACAGGCATATGCTATTACACCTGGTCAGACCTTGAACTTTCCTAAATACTGTACTTGTGTTCCACACACCGTTCCAGGTACTGAAGACACCGCCTGTGCCAAAGTGGCAACGCAAAGGCCCTGTGACACCTAGGGTCCCTCTGTTGGACACAAGCAGGAATGGATTCCCGTGTCTTGTGGGGGTGGGTAGGATGGTAAAGGACTACTAGACGAAATTAAGAAAACAGAGTCTGGGGATAAGAATGCCGCAACAAATCCAAGTAGGGGGCAGACAGAAGACAAGGGCATCGAGGCTGCTGGCCAGGGAAGGCCTTCGGGGGTCTCCACGGTGGTCTCTGTCCCCTCTCGATCCTAGTTCCCCCTGCCCCAAGCTGGTTCATGCCCCAGTGTCGCCTATCCACCCCTGCTCATTACGTGGGCTCCTCCCGCGCCGTTCAGGTGCTGCGGGTCCGGAGGGTGCGCGCGCCTGGGTCACCACTGCGCGCGGCAGGAGGCGTAGGGGAGCCCCACATCTTGACCCCAGGTCTCCCAGTGTGCCCAATCCAGCCCCGCCCAGCCCAATCCAACCCAACCGAGAGCAGACTCCGCCCCGGCCCGCCCCAGCCCGCGTTCCCCGCCTCCCGGCGCCGCGGACGCGCACCGGAGTCCCCTGGTCCTTGGGGGCGGGCGGCGGGGACCCGCGTGCAGGGAGCCGATGGAGCCGGCGCGGGCGCCCCGGGAGGACGGCGGGGCCGAGGAGCTGCTGGGCGAGCTGGAGCGGCTGGTGAAGGACGTGGTGAGGGCGAGCTCGTGGTGGGAGCGCCGCGGCTTGGACTGCGCCATCCTGGCACTCAGCCTCCTGGCCGTGCCGGCCGGTGAGGGACACAGGGACTGGAACGCAGGGGAGCAAACAGATTTGGGATGCGGGGCGGTGGGGAGCGACGGCGATGCGGAGTGTGCTGCCGGCTGGAGGGGAGCAGGGAGCAAGATTCGAGTGCAGGCGTCCCGTGCCCGGGACCTCAGGACCTCAGGACACATCTCAAACCAGAAAGTCTGGTTTGGGGTGTCCCGCCTTACGTCCCGAGGAGCTGGGCGCTGGAGGTGGAAGGCTGATAGCATGAAGGTGGCAGAGCGGAAAGTTGAGGAGCCCTGGGGGGTGGGGAGGAATGAGGTGGCCTGGGAAGGGGGAAGATTTTCTGGGGGTACACCAGGGGTGGCTGAGGGGAGTGAGGAGGGGGCGTGGGGATTCTCCTGGACCTCTACTGGTCTGGAATCCTCATAGTACCAGCCCCCATCTCTGCACCGTGTTGGGGCTCAAGGGGGAAGATTGACCAGTGTCAGGACCACTAGAGTCTCACGGGAGGCCCAGGGGCTCTGCTTTGTCCCAAATCCGGCACACAGAACCGCTCCACCCACCTCACGCCACTCCTGCCTGTGTCAGCCCCGCTTTGGCGGGGATTTTAGAGTGAGCTATTTGGGTCCAGATCTCCAGAGCTGCAGACAGACTTTGTTCCCTTGCCCCTCCTGCAGGGCTCCTGTGCCTGCGCTCTGAGAACGTCCTGATCTTTGCCTTTGGCATCTCCGTCTTGGGTGTGTGCCACTATACCCTCACTGTCAAGGGCAGTCACCTGGCCACTCACAACGCCCTCACTGAGTCCAAATACTGGAACAGGATCTTAGCACTTTTCTTTGTGGAGGTGAGTGTGTGTGTGTGTTGGGGAGGGGAGCCACTGGTACCATGTGGGTGAGGTGATTATTCCATGCAAGTATGCAGGTGTGTACAGCTGTGTGTGTTCACACAGGCAGGCAGTGCTGCCTTTGGCATGTGAATGCAAGTGTGCATGCAGTATGCACTAATGCAGTGTGTGTGTGTGCACGCGCCCGTGAGCATGTGAGCATTTGTGTGCTTCTCCAAACTCCTCAGAGTGAGTTTGCACCCGTGGGTAGAGAGCTGTGTGATGCATATCCAGTGTCTCCCTAGGCCAGTGGACTTGGCCGGGGCACCTTGTTTTCTCCTGGCCCACTCTCCTCTCTGCAGTGCTGGGCCAAGTGTGACTAGAGCTTCTTCCTCCTACAAGGTGTCTGTGGCTGGCAGGCCCTGCTCTTTGTCTGCCTCGGCCCGCGGCTACCATCAAAGTCTCAAGGTTTTTGCAATCAGGGTTTAAAATGTGACCCACAAACAAAAAGGGGGGAGAAGCCCAGCATCCCAGCTCCGGGTCATGCCCCTGTGATTCCTGGCAATGGCTGAGTGGTCCTGAGGAGGCTCTGCTCCCCCAGGCCTCCAGAAAGGACCCTTCTCTCTCCTGACTCTTGCTCTCCCTTCTTTACTCTTCCCTGCTCTGCCTTCTCACCTGCGGGCTGACCTGGAAGGCAGAGGCTCCTTGCCTGGCTGCCCTCTCCGACTGGCCTGCAGGCCTCTTTGGATTCTCTGCCAGACTCGCTCCCTTTTCCTTTCCAGGATGAGCCTTGCTTGGCCACCCGGGCCCCTTAGGAAGAAAACTGTGGGGCAATAACTGAAAAAGGCCTTTTCTGGCAGGGACTGGTCACCACCACTGATTAACTTAATTATTAGCTTTTCATAAAAACTCAGTTATTAAGTTTGCATAAAGCCATGTAACTTTATAAAACTTCGTATAACTATACATGCACACACCTTATAACGTATCAGCGGAGTGACAGCAATATTTCTCACCTAGCATTTTCTGCCCCGTTCCCCCCGTCCCTCCCATTCTCTTCTCACCAGCACACATTGCTGAAGGGCAAAGGATGAGAAGAGCCCACAGGCCCCTGATCTTCAGGGATCCTTTCCAGTGACCCCTGGCTGTGGCCCCAGGCAGATTTGGAGGTGTGGGCCAGATCCAGGGTTTCCAGGTCAGACCCCACTGAGTGTGTGACCTGCCAGGAGAGTCGGGGGCAATGCCGGCTGTGCTGTGTGCATAGGCACTATCCCAGTGCTGTGTCTGAAGGGACAGGATTAGCTGTTTGGATTTTCAAAGCTGGACTGTGTGCCAGGAGCCTACAGGCAGCTGGGGGTGAGCAGAGCTGAGGACTACGTGACTACAGGACTGAGTGACTATTGCACACAGATGGCCATGGGGCTCTTAAATGTGGGGACATAGCCAAGTCACCTGGAGCCTCAGGCTTGTTGGAGAAGAGGCCCTTGCCTGCTGCATTTTTATCAAGTTGCCCACACAAGAACCCTGGATCCTGACTGCCCCGATACGGGAGCTTTCATGTGTGCTGTTATGTATGGAGAAGCACATACATGTACACATACGTGCTGTAGTTGGTGCATACTTGCATTTACATGCCAAGGGCAGCAGTTGCCTGCCCATGTGGACACACAGACACACACACACACAGCTGTATACACCCGGTGCTCCTATGTGGCAGGGAGCGGAGGATGCCACCTCTGAGAAGCCTTCCACAGAACCCCAGCACACGGTGACCTGTGGGACCAGGCAGCCATGGGGCTGAATTTTGCTTACAGTACATGGTCTTGTCCCCAGGAAGCCCAGTGGCCTCACTCTCGCCTCTTTATCTGTTCAGCCCCTGCATAGGCATGTCTTGGCCTGAGCTCTTGGCATGTCTTCCGTTAGTATTTGTTGGCCATGACCCTGCAGTTGGAATTAGGTACAACGGGCAAGGTCCAGGGAAAAGCTGTGTGACAGAGGATCACCTGGAGGCCTGTGCTCCTCGAGGCAGAGGAGAAAAAGCTTGGTTCCCACCTCGTCCTGTGACACTGGCAGGTGCTGCAGTGAGTTGTGGGGCAGGGCACAAGTAATTTGTCACTTGGGTGCTCCAGTACCCTGCGTGAGCAGGGCCTCTCCATTTTCTGACCTCTGTTGAGGGTCCAATCCCTGGGTGTGGGAGGGGATGGGTCACCCGCTCTCCCCAGCTGGCATGCATGGGGCCACTGCAGTCTTCCAGGAAGTTGCTGGTGTTACAGGCCAGGCAGGAGCCCGAAGTCAAGGGCATGGCCTTTGGACCCTCAGTTGGAACCCCATCCCCACTGGCTCCTCTGACCTTGGGTATGTACTTAATTCAACATCCAGAGTTAGCTCTCCCGTGGAATCAACCAGCGTGACGACGTGGCCCCTCTCATGGAGCTGGCATGCCCTGGTGAGACGCCACAGACCTGACTTTGATGCTCCGTGAGTGTTAGCTTTGCTTTTTCTCCCTGGAGGGAAAGCACTTTTTCTCCCTGGAGGGAAAGCACGGTCAGCTGCAAGGACAGAGGGAACCGTTTGTGGCGGCATTTATTTTCCTGTTATTGTCTTGTTTTTGCTAACAGAGAAGTTGCCGAGCTCCACAGAGCCAGGCGTGTGTTGGGGGCTGGGTTGGGTGGCACACAGGACAAGGTCTCGAGTAACCTGGATCTCTGAGGAGCCCTGACCTTCCTTGACCCATGGTTCTCACTTCTACAGGCTGGTGTTTTCTCCCTTTCTGCCTTCTCTTGTGGGGTGTGTGCCTTTCCCCTTGACCTTCAGAGACACCGCCTCTGCAAGAGCGTGCAGTCCCGGGCCCTGGTTTCCTTCCAGGATCCTGACAGTGCTGTAGCCTTGGCTGAGTACCATGGGCTTTCTTAGGCACGCAGCGTTTGCTGGGATTTCTCCGGGGTTACCGGCTCCAAGCTGGGGTGGGACCAGGGCCTCTCTGACCCAGTGGGTGTGAGGAGAGGGGCAGAGAGGATGGCAGTGGTGCAGGGGGGCAGGGGCGTTCCCTGCACTCTACATCCAAATCATGTAACCCTCCCCATACCAGGTAGGCTTCTCTCTGAGGACCCAGTTCTGGCCTAGCAGAGCAAGTTCCATCCCTCCTAGCAGCAGCCTTCTCCCTAGCTCTGGCCTTCCCCAGCAGAGCTCATGGCCCAACCTGTCCCGATTACATCACTGGCGCCACCAGCTGTATCCTGGGGGACTTCCAGAAAAGGGTGCCCCGTGCAGATGGCCACTGGAAGGTGGGGTATCAGGTGGGAGAGGAGGTCACATGGTGGTTTCAGTCTTGAGCCTGCGGAGAATTCCCTCTGGAAGCAGAGGACTCTGGGGACTGTCCTGCACAGGAGCACCATCAGGACGCTCCCCTGAGTGGGCAGGAACAGGCTGTGCCAGTTACGAAGCTCTGTATTGTGTCTCAGCAACAGACACTCCTTGTGAAGTTGGCTTTGTGCTGTGCACAGGGGCGGAGTCACAGTGGGTCCACAGGGAGCCCTGCACAGTGCCCGTGCCCTGCAGAAAGAGTGGTCACGTCGGGACTGCCTGTCACCATGATCCTGGTCTCTTGTGGGGTGGAAACTGCTGAGAACCGCCAGCCTTGTTCCCTTCCATCCTGAGTTTAGTGCAGCCATTAGCTCCTGGGCGTCTCCTTGACCTTCTCTGGGCTTATCCCCACCCAAACCCCGAGCGCTCTTGTTTGAGTAAAATCAACTATGACTTCCTTTCCTTTCCTTTTCTTTTCCCTCTTCCCTCTCCCCTCCCTTCCTCCCTGTGCTGGGGATTGAACACAGGGCCTCATGGATGCTAAGCACATGTTCCACTGAACTACACTCCTACCCTCAACTATGAATTTATTTTTTCAGTTTTTAAAATTCATTTGGGAGCAAACAGATCTTCAGTACAAAATATACTTTAGTGTAAAAACTTAATTTTTTGAACAATTACAGACTCACAGCACTTCCAAAAGTGGAAGCTATCTGGTGGATCCTCCACCTAGTTTCCCCCAATAGTTATATTTATGTACATGTCCCTCAATATTGAAACCAAGGAAACCGTCATTGCTAGCATGTGTGCGCATGCCCATGGGTGTTCTGCGCCAGTTTATCACATGTGTTCCTAACGTGCATTTTTAAGCAGGGCTCCCTGCTCCCCCAACTGAGGTGTGACTTCCTCCAGGAAAAGCCTCAGTAGCACAGGGAGGGATTCTCACTGTGATTCCTGTTCCCCAGGGGGGGGGGTGTCCCCCAAAATACTGGCTTCTTCCATAGGTGGCCCTGATGGGCTTACACACAGCCCCCTGAGCAGAGGGGATGGGGGCAACAGAAATTGCCCTGGACTAGCCACAGCAGTCTGCACTGGCACAGTGGGTATGAGGAGCGGCCTCTTGAGGGAGGGGCTTGGAGAAAGGTGGTAGAGACTTCAGGGGACTTTGGTGAGCGGGACAGTAGACACCCAGCCAGGAGAGGAGACTTGGAGGAGGTCCCGGGGTGATAGGTGCTTTGGGGGCAGAGACTGCGTGCTGAGGCTCCGAGTGGGTGAACCAGGGCCAAGGCTGTGACCTGGTCCTGCAGCGGGAGCAATCCTCTCAGTACTGCGGAGCTTCTGCTCTGTGCCTGGCCCTGTGCCACCAGGGGCTGGGGGACACGATGGTGAATAAGACCCCTTCTGGGGCTGGGGATTTAGCTCAGCGGCAAAGCGCCTGCCTGGCAAGCGCAAGGTCGTGAGTTTGGTTCCCGGTACCGGAGAAAAACCAAAAACAAACAAACAAACAAACAAACAAAAAAGACCCCTTCTGTTCCCAGGGGCTGAGTCAAGTGGGGAAAGAGACAAACAAATGACAATAAAGATCCAAATCGTGTGCGGGGGCATGCGCCTGTCATCACAGCAGTCTGGGAGGCCGACACAGGAGGATCGCAAGTTTGAGCCCGGCCTGGGCAATTCGGTGATTTAGTGACACTGTCTCAAAATAAAAAGTCAAGATG